TGCACCAAACCTCACCAACAGGGAAAGGGGGGAAGGTAGGACTGGTGGACTGACTTAAGACTTTGAAGAACAAAGCACAAGAGAAGATGCCACTGGGGGTAGGTGTCCAAATTCTAGAATCCGCCCTAGTGGGGTCTAAGAAAACGTTATCAAGAAGAGCAATAAGGCTCAAAATACTGTCGAGGTCTGAGTCCCTCAAATCCCTTCTTAGGCCCAAGTTCCACCCAATCCCAGAAGTGGAAGAGGACAGGGTGGTGAAAGACGAGATCGGCTCATTTTTCAAATCAGAAAGAGCAAACAAAGAAGGAAATTGATCCTTTAAAGGGGCACTCCCCACCAGGTTTGTTCCCAAAATTTTATGTCCCATACTTAAGTAGGGACATAATTGTTTTATTTAATAGAAACATATAAATATAACCTAGCCGACTAGAGAGAGTGGCTTTTCTCTCTTGTTCGAACTAGTTTTCTCCTTCTCCTTTCTTCTCTTCTTCTCTCTTCTAATCTTCCTCTAATACTATTTCTAACAGAAATCTAGTGCAGGTCTGAACTTTTATCAAAAGTAAAGGAATAAAATTGCACATGACAAGACATATTCTCCTAATATTTTTTGAACTAGGCAATAAAGAAAATGGTTCTACTATGATGCCAGACACCAATCAACCAATATCATAAAAGTGCTTATCAATCAAGTGGTATTTATCAAAATTCAGGGGGGGGGGTTGATTGGTCAAAGCTCTTCTGGTATTTGTCTTTCCAGCAGCATATGTTTTTCCCAAAGAAAAAAAGGTCAATGGCCTCTTGGCTAATGGCTGGGACATAAGTTGAATGCAAGAGACATTTTAGATATGATGTTCATTTAGCTAATAAAGCCAAATATTGGGAAGATATCTAGTGGGGGCATGTGCCTTTTAAGGATAGATTTTTTTCCATTTACTCCATTTTTATATACACAGATATGTTGTTTCTTCTTATATTCTGATCATTGAGCACAATCTAACATGGAATTTAGGCCTTAGGAGAGGCTTAAGGAATCATGAAATGTATGAAGCTTTGTATCTTATCGCCTCTCTCTCTCTCTCTCTCTCTCTTGTTAAATAACAATAAAGTTTTATTAAACAAAAAAACCGAGTACAACCTAAAGGTAGGTGTTAGGATAACACCCCCCAGTTCAATTAGGCATGTGCCTTGCCTTGCACATATCATCTCAGGCTATATGAACCCCTTGTGCTTTAGTTGTGCTTCTTGCTTTTAAAACACTGGTATTCCCTCTTATGGATCCTTTATTGTTGCATTGAACTCCTACATTTTCCTATATTATAGATAAACCTCTCCTTTATCATTTTTGCTGACATAAAAAGGAATAGGCGTAAGAAATGATACACCTTGTTAACCCTACATAACATAACATAAAAAAAACCCTTGTTTCCATCCCTCCCCCTGCTCACCAAAAGTAAAAGTAGGAAAAATCACTATTTGTGAAAAAAAGCACCATTGGGAGAAGGCAATTTCATCAACATGACCAAGATCCACAACAATGTCCCTATAGAAAGATGAAAATTTATTGCCTACAAAGTTAAAACTCCTTAATATTGGAAGCAAATTTGTTTCTTTTTCCACACTCCATAGTAAAACCTCCATGATTTTATATTGTGATTTAAGGACACGAGTGTTGTTTATTGCGTATAGTTTCTTTCATTTAAAGTACAACACAATACCATATCCTTTATTGCCTCTTTTTGTGCAGAGTTCAGAAAGATGTGATGGAGTCATTATGCTTGCGAAACCCTCTAGTCCTCCGGTCATCATTTAATCGTCCTAATATATTTTATGAAGGTAATGTCCTGCTAGCCAAATCCAATCCTAATTCCTTTGCATTTTCTTAATTGTTTAATTTCTATTCACTGAGACAAGGAATTTCTAATTTCACTTGATGTAGATTTCTATTATTTCTTTGTTTATGTGGATTCAAAGATTTGGCACCTGGAGTTAAGTGAACTAGTACTGATTTTTCATTTTCTAGCAGTCCTCAAATGCTTCTTGCAGGGGCAGATGGGATTTTTATTTTTCAAAGTACAATATTTTTTTATTATAGATAGAGAAAAAATTATTAGAAAGAGACATAAATAAATTTGAGAGGATCTCCAACCTTAAAATTAGTTGGGACAAGAGCTGCATGGAAAGAGTAAATTTAGGGAGAGAAGAAGTGGATATGCTAGCTGGACTGTTGGGGTGTGAAGTGGGGGATTGGCCATTACAATATTTGGGACTACCATTGGGAGGAAATCCAAATACAAATAGCTTCTGGTATCCAGTGATTGAGAGATTTACAAAGAGACTTGCAATTTGGAAGAGAAATTACATTTCTTTGGGAGGTAGGATAACCCTAATAAAGTCAACATTGGCTAACTTACTCGTGTATTTCCTATTTACCTTTAGGATACCGGTGAAAATGGCAAACCAGCTAGAGAAGATTATGAGGAACTTCCTTTGGGAACCAGGAGACACCAATAAAAGACCAGCTAGTGAAGTGGGAGGTGGTTTCTAGAAGTAGTGAAGGAGGCCTAGGACTAGGAAATATCAGACTAAGAAACACAACATTGTTGAGGAAATGGTTATGGAGATTGTTGTTGGAACAAGATAGACTTTGGCATAAAGTGATTATTAGCATTCATGGATTGGTAGACAATGGTTGGGATGTAGGAGTCAACCCTAGGGCTTCTTGATGTTCTCCCTAGAAAGCTATTCATGGTATATTGCCTTCCATCCTTAATTTAAATTTGATGCATGTGCAGGAAACCAAGTGTTGTTTTGGGAAGATGTTTAGGTTGCAGAGATTCCCCTTAATGATAGGTTTCGTACTATTTATTCACTGTCAAAAAATAAAAGAGTGATCTCTTCAGTTTTTATTGATAATTCTTGGGACCTGGGTCTAAGGAAAGATCTAATGAAGTTGGAAATGGCAATGGTGGATGAATTAGTCACCCTTTTAGGGTCAACCTATTTGGATCAATCTTTTTTGGACAGTAGAATTTGGAAACTTTCCCCATCTGGGAGGTGGTGTCAGTCTGTACCTCCAAAAATTTGGGCTTTTGCTAGGAGGTGGTTCTCAAAAAAAAACCATTACTCTAGATATGTTGCAAAGAAAAAGGCCAAATTTTTGCCAGTCACCCCATGTTTGTAGCCTCTGCTTGGGTTCTGGTAAGACGATCATACACCTTTTAATTTCTTGTCCATTCGTGTACTTTATTTGGACCTGGGTTCTCTTCTATCTTTGGTTGTAGGTGGACACCTCCCTTGGACGTGGTAAGCCTTTTTTGCCCAAGATTGTTTTAGGCAACTAAAGAGGCGTGGAAGATTAATGTGGAGAGCCACAAGAGCAGCTATCCTATGGTTAGTTTCGGAAGAAAGAAACAATAGGATCTTTGAAGGAGTAGAGAAATCCGAGGAAATTGTAGAAAGAATAACCATTATGACTATTCAATGGTTGAAAACTTTGGATTTGTTTAGAGACTTCTTAGTTGAGGACATATACAGGAATTGGGGCATGGTGGCATCTACAGCTTCCATAAAACCTACTGTACAGGATTTGTGGTCCCCACCAACACAACAAAGAATGAAACTGAACTTTGATGGGAGCTCTAGAGGTAACCCGGGCCCTTTAGGTATAGGGGGAATATTCAGAGATGAAAATGGCAGAATTGTGGCTTTGTTTTTGGGGCCAATAGGAGTGGGGGACTCATTGAGCGTGGAGGTGATGGGCTTGCTTCAAGGAGTAAGATGTGCCAAACAATTGGGGTACACCAAATTGAGATAGAGGGACACTCTAAATTGTTAATTGATTGACTGCAATTAGGTAAGTTGGGAGCCTAGATTTATAGACAGCCCATAAGGGAAATCCTCAATATAACAAGGGTGATTGATGCTTGCTTCAAATGGACAAGGAGATCAGCTAATGGTTTAGCTGATACGTTGGCTAAACAAGGGACTACGAGGGAGAGTATGCTCTGGGAAATTTTGTAATAAAGATTACTTGAGACTCAACACCTGTTGAGGGGTTGACAGTAGTACTTAATTTTGTATTAATAAAATTATCGTTTCCAATCTAGAAAAAAGGGTGACAAGTCATCACCCTCAAATAAAATAAAATACCCTACTGTGAACGATGGAAAAAACCCAACAGTTCACTTCATGGCCAATCAGATGGAGTTGCCACCCATCGAAATAGATAATTGGGAGTGATGGGCCTCTCGGAATTGCATTTTTCAAAATTAATCGAACGCTAGTGACTCCACACTCCTCGGCCTAAACAAGGCTAGTCTGGCTTAAGTTGAGAGAGAGAGAGAGAGAGAGAGAGAGAGAGAGAGAGAGAGGAGGGATTAGGCACCCCTCTCTCTGGTTAGTGTGAATGCCAAATCCCTTTCCTAATTTCAAACAGTGAAAGCATGTGGATTCATATTTGAGAACGTGCATTCCCTGACAGCTTGAAGATGTACTGTAACTATGAAATCCTTGCTCTTATCCTCTAGGCCATACCCCTTTTGGATGCAGGAGCCTGAGCAAAAGGGTGAGAAAATAAATCCCCACCCCTTTTCTATCAGAAATTCCCACCTTTGGACTCAATCAAATGGCTAGAGGAGTCGAGAGGAGTGGTTGTTGCTAGTTGTGTTCAAACCCGCCACTGCAACTTGAAATGCGGCCTGTGGTCGAAGTGATGTAAAGGCAAGAAGCTGGTGAGAGAGAAGCAAAATGGAGAGAGGGGGGAAAGAATGAGAGAAGGGGAACGAGAGAAAACTAGGGAAATCCAAGCTCACCACCCATCGTCACCACTCTGCATTTGCCGCAAGGTCAAAGACAATGAATCATTCCTCCCCCCTCTCAAAATCAATTTCCTCTTATTTATAATGTGAAGTGAAGGAGGGTATTTTAGAAATTTCTCAAAATGAAAGGGGGGTTTTGGTAAGTAAGTTAGGATTTGGAGGGACATCTTGACAGGTTGGGGTTTCAGGGGTCAAAAAGGGGATTTGGGGTAAGAAGGGCAATTTAGTAATCTTGGGGTTTTTGGTAGGTAAGTTAGGATTTGGAGGGACATCTTGCCAGGTTGGGGTTTCAGGTGTATTCGGGTAATTTGGTGAGTGGTGTTTTGGCTTTGGAGGGTATTTGCTAATTTAAGAGATGAGGGGTATTTTGGGAATTTGGAATTGAGTGGTATTTTGGTAATTCGGAAAAGGGTATTTTGGGAATTTAGGGGATGAGGGGTATTTTGGAATTTAGGCACAATGAGGGTACTTTGGTATTTTGGAAATTTAGGGGATGAGGGGTATTTTGGGAATTTAGGCATGAGAATTTTTTTCCATAATTTGGAAGTAGGATATTTTAGGAATTTGGAATGGAGGGCAATTTGGTCATTTGGCATGAAAGGTAGTTTTGGTGACTTGAAAAGAGGGTAGTTTGGGGTATTTGGCATGAGGGATATTTTGGTTATTTTGGATGAGGGGCATTTTAGGAATTTGGTACGAGGGGGTATTTTTGGAGTTTGGAATGCAGGGGCATTTTTGGGCTTTAAGGGTATTAGGTGGGTTTGATGATGAATTTTAAGGATTTAGCGGCAGAGATTTGGGTTCTTTGGGTTTTGGAAGGATTGGAATGGTCTAATCGAGTGTTTGAGGGTGAGTTGGGGGTTCAGACAGGATTGAGAAAAAATCGGGTGCTGACACCTACCACCCCAAATTTTCCAAAAGCTTTAATCACAATCAAAACCCAAACAACACTGTCCAACCACCCAACTAATGCCCAACATTGACCATGCCTCAAATCCTACCTGAGCTCCCTCTCATATTACCTGAACACCTATTAAACAGACAGCCCAAAACTCCCCTTCCAACTACCAAACAACAAAACAAATTCACTTCAGACCTTCGTCAGTTGGAACAGAAACCACTTTTCTTCTCTTCAAGGTTGTTTTTGTCTTCAAAGTCCTCTTGTTAATCCAACTCCAAATAAATCTCCCCTTAACCTTGCAAAAGCCATTGAGACTGGAACAACTCGGATTTTTTTTTTTTTTGTTTAAACCTTTTAACAACTCGGAAATTTATTCAATGTGCTGAAGTTTTGGGATGTTCAATTTCCAATTGGCCTTTAAAGTATTCAGGTCTCTCCCTAGGTGGCAATCTTAGAGAGTTTCTTTTTAGGAATCCTATCTTAGAGAGGTTCACAAATGAACTGGCAGTATGGAAAAAGAGTTGCCTTTCCTTGATGGGTAGAATAACTCTAATTAAGTCAACCTTGTCTAACCTTCCTGTTTATTAGCTCTTGGTCTTTCCTATCTGACATTCTATAGCAAATAAGTTGGAGAAAAATATGAGGGATTTTTTTTTTGTGGGAACCGGGTGCGAGGAGATGAGACTGCTTAGTGAATTGGGAAGTGGTGTGCAAAAGGAAAGAATGCGGTGTATTAGGCATTGGGTAATTGGATAAAAAAGAATGTAGCTTTGTGGGAAGTGGTTGTGGAGGCTGCCTATTGAGAAGGATAGATTGTGGCATAAAGTAATTAGTAGCATATATAGGCTCATGGCAAATTAATGGGATGTTGGCCTTTCTTGAAGGGTCACTAGAGCTTCTCCTTAGAAGGCAATTGCTAAAATCCTCCTACCTTCCTAAATGGCATAAGGCATGATGTTTTTGATGTCACCTTGGTGAGCTTTTGGGAGGATGTGTGACTGGGACACTCCCCTTTGAAGGACTGCTTTCCTATTTGTTTTCAGTTGTCTTCCTTAAAAGGCGAGACAATTTCTATGTTTGTGGTTGCTTCTCCTTTTGGGATTGGTTTTGACTGGGATTTGGGATATTGAAGGGGCATTCGTAACTCGAAACTTTCTTCTGTCACTAATTTGTTCCATTTGCTAGACTTCATTTTCTTGAACTCCCCTTCTAATCTGCTGTAGCCTTTTCCTGTTGAAAAAATATGGTGTCATCCAATTCTTTCCCAAGGTCAGTTTTTTTTGTTGGGAGGCCTTTGATGGTAAGATTAACATGGTTGGACTATTCACTTCCTCAATTTTCAAATGGCCAAATAGAAGGGGAAGATATAATGTGGAGAACAACAAGAGCGACAATAATTTGGACAATTTGAGAGGAAAGAAGCGCAAGAATTTTTGAGAAAGAAAGAACAAAAAGTAGTTATTGAGTGTGTTACAATTAGAGTAGCACACTGGACCAAAGAATAGACCTCTTCTCACCTTTTTCCATTGACGATAATATTTTTAGGAAATGGAGGGAGACGGTGGGTTCTGGTAACAAGAAAGAAACAATTTCTCAACATTGGTAACCTCCTGAAGAAGGTTACATCAAGTTAAATTTTGATGGAAGCAGCATGGGAAATCCAGGGCCTTAAGGAGTGGGAGTAGTTTTTAGGGATGGAGGGGTGGTACAAGCAATGTTTTCAGGGCTGATTCGAATAGGGGATTCTCTAAGAGAAGTCATGTCTGCTTTAATTGGAGTATAAAAATCCCAATGCATGATGCTCCTGCCAATGCGGGGTCTAGGGAGGGATAGATGTACATAGCCGTACCTCTGCAGATACACAGAGAGGCTGTTTCCATGATTTGAGCCCTGGTCACCTGACTCACCCCAACCATTGCTTTAATTGGAGTATAGGAAGGCAAGGAGCTAAATATTGAGAGATTGATTATTGATGGGGACTCAAAAATAATGGTGGGATGGCTACAGTTTCCCGTGGGTATAATCTGGTGCAAGTACATACCTTCAAAGGTAGCTTTCTTTGTTTAGTCTGCCTACTTAAATAAGATCCTCACTAAGGACAACCTGTTAAATTGAGGAATTATGTTTGATTCAGCAGAATGTGTCCTATGCAACAGGGTGGAAGAATCTGTAAGTCACTTCTTATTGCATTGCAGCTTCACTTGTAACATCTGGGTGAAAGTGTTCAAGCTTTTTTGCTTTCAAAGGATGCTGTCCAGCATCTGTACAAGATTTATCGAGAGGGTGGTGGATCCAAGGCCTGAGCAAAGGAAAAGTGATTTGGCAAATGATTCCAGGAGAAGTGTTTTGGATTATATGGCAGGAAAGGAATTTAAGGGGTTTTCAGAACAAAGGCTGTCAAATTGAGGAAGTGTGGCAGAAAATAGTGGGTAATCTGTTCTCCTAGTCATCAGCTCAACTAAGAGAAAGATCAAATTATAGCTCTCCTTTTGATTTTGAAAATCTTTTTGTAAACACAAAAGGGATAGTGGTCTAATTTTCTGGCTTTTTTTGTATTTTCCTATTGTATAGCCACTAGTTGTACAGGGGCTTTTCTATCTTAATAAAATTATACTTTACCTCTTCTCAAAAAAAGAAAAAGCAGCTACTTACATGAAGTAAATTCTAAGTAGATTAAAAGTATATGACAAGTTGAAGGTATCATTTAAAGAAAATAGGTGCAATGGGTAGGTGATAAGTTATAATTGGAGAAAATAAGCAGGTAACTAGTAATTGGCAAGAGTTACTTGCTCTGAAGACAATTTTCAGACCAAGTCTATATATACTCATGTACTATTTTCTTTTTGAAAAAAAAATGAAGTGCTATCTATTTACATTTCTTGAGAATTCACTCAAATCTTTTAGAATGTGTTATGTTTTCTTTCTCTAGGAATAATGCCTAGAATGCCAGTATAAAGCTAGGTTTTTTCTTCTTTCTAGTTGTAATACCTAGGACACTACTAGAGTTATTCTAGTAGATTTACCACCTGGGCGATAAATGTTTCCATGTAGGTTGGAGTGTTTGCAATTTCTCCATGACAACATCTATCACAAGTTTTCTTGTGTTTCTAGTGATACTCTTAGCGTTAGTTGTAGTTACCATGTTTTCCTACCTGACAAGATTTTTGTGCAATGCAGTTCGGTATAAAGATCTGTTGGATGATGCCTATGCTGATTTGTCTAATGTGCTTAAGTCCAGTGGAGATGCATGTTCAATTGTTTATTGTCTTGAACGCACAACTTGTGATGATTTGTCTGCTCATTTGTCAGAAAATGGCATTTCCTGTGCTGGTAATTGAATAAAATGTTCATACTTAGCCTTATTCTTGATAGTTTTAGTGTACATATTTTCTTAGTCAAGATGTTCTTTTTAGCTTATCATGCAGGGTTGAACAGTAAACTGCGAAGTTCAGTTTTAGATGATTGGATTTCTTCCAGAATACAGGTTGTTGTGGCAACAGTGGCTTTCGGGTACTGTAAACTTGGATATCTTAAATAGATCTGTACTTTTCTTTTCATCTTCTCATTGAGCTTTCTTGTGGCCCTCCAAAAAATAAATGAATAGAAGTGCAATGATATTTAATGTATTCAACTTGTGAAACTGTGACAAAAGCCACTTGTAAATTGTCTAGATTTTGATAAATACTACAGATTTTGTCTCTATTGGGATGGGGGTACTGAGACAAGAATCAACCAATTGTGCAGCTTTGCAGTACCTGCAATAAATACAGGACCTAGGCATTACCACTCTTACATAGAATCCCACATTTCGAAACCACCCCAACCTCTGAGAGCTTTGAATTACCTTCTAGAACAAATCTAGTAATATCCCACTCCCATTTCTCTTTTTCCCCTAAACCTGAACTAACACTACTCAGATCTTCACCTTGAACCATTTCATGGTTGCTCCATCTTTCAACTGACCTTTTTAGAGACCTGAGATAATTTCCAAACCTTGTACACGAAGAAGATGATGGACCCAAATTTTGATCTGCTATCATGCAACCAAGCCCAGCCCTCATGTGGTCTCTTAAATTTTTTGAGTTGACCATATTTGGGGAGAGATAAGAAAGTTTATTTCTCAGTCTTTGCATTTTACTCTGTACACACAATTTTCTATCTTAATGAATCTGCAGTTATTGATAAAAAAAATTGAATTGACCCACACCAAGTTGCACCTCTAATGAGATCTGTGTAAATGATCAGGATTTCTTCCACATGATTTCTGAGACTTATCCCTGATTTCCCTGGGGTCCCAAAACTACAACTGTCTATGTACTTGTTGCTTTGAATCAGACGAAACCATATTGCATAGATTTTTTTTTTTTATCAATAACCACATTTCATTAATTAATCACAAAAATTTTACAAGGATGAAGATAAACTTTCTTATCTTCCAACTGGAGCTTGAGCTCCCAAGAACAGAAAAAGGAAAAAATTACACTTGTGCCCAAAACATTAACTCCCTCTCGACTCCTTGCTTAGCTAACCCAGCTGATCTTGATTTCCATCTCTTGAACCAGCTGATCTTGATTTCCATCTCTTGAACCATCCATCTAAATTTCCTCCTCTCATTACTGTACATCAATAAACTGCTATTTTCTTTATTCAGCCACCCTACCACCACCTCTGAGTCCCCTTCAATGATGAGTTTTCTTATATTATCTCCTTAGCTCTTTGGACTTCTTCCAGAACTGCAAAAATCTCAGCCCTGAGAGAATCACCCACTCCAATTGGGGCTGAAAACATGGCTGAAACAAGCCCATTCTCATCCCTAAACACACCTCCAATCCCCAATTGTCCAGGATTCCCCAACTACTCCCATCAAAGTTTAGTTTTAAAAAACCGGCCGGTGGGGGGGGGGGGGTCCAAAACACACTCATTATTGTTTTGGGCTGGGTGCAATTAGCAATCTCACCCCACTTCCTCAATAAATCATCCACTGAGAAGTCTGTAAACAGCTCTGAAGATTTCAGCCACTGTACTACCCTTTTATGGATCAGTTCTCTCAATTCTTCACTGTCCCTCCCTACTTCAGAGAAGATCCTGGTATTTCTTTCTTCCCACAAAGGCCAACATACTACAGCCCTCAAGCATCTCCACATGGTTCTTCCCCTTTTCATTCGGCACCTGAAGAAGGAAGGGGAAAAAAGGCTTTGCAAATTTGATGGAGGATTCCATCTACCCCCAAAGAGGGATCAAGGTTTAAAATGTCGATGTCGATGGAAATGTCGCTTACCAAAATATAGGACATATGTTGGAAATGTCGAGGGGAAATATTGTWAAAATTAGAGACATTGTGGAAATATTATGAAATATGTGGAAATATGCAAAGATGTTTTGTAAAATGATAAAAGAAGCATTTATACATATTTCTAGACTATTATCT